GGAAGTATAGCCCTCCCAGAAAGAAAGCATTGCTTAACAATACCATGGCGTACATCGTCGCGAAATTCCATGTCCCCGCATCCCTTTGTGTAGGGCCCGTTCTTCTCGAAGCGAGCGAGATTACACCAATTCATTTGATGAGTACTCATTTCTCAGTGTGGAAATAATAGAAAATTTTCACGAACGGCTGCACGCAACAGGTCGGATAATCGTCGACATCGAATCTGTCGTGTTCTGTAGTTCTGCACTAGTTCTGCTTGGCTCTCCCTGCCCAAACTGAACCGCAGCTGTCCACATCTGAAACTCCACAACCGGCCACCCGCAAACGGCGCAAGTACGGGCCACGCTCTGTTCCTCTGGGTGTGTCCACGTCTGCTGAACGGAAAGCGGGTCCGAGCGGAGCGGCAGAGGGACCATCGTGAGTACCTTTTGTTTGCTTTGTATTAGTTAACAAGATCACATATTTGGCTTGTTCGCAGATCAGTGTCTGCCACTTCATCACGTCCTATGTCTGTGCCAGACACGCTCAATGACGAGGAAAGGGTCCGGCTTGAGCTGATCCTTCCGGGGACAGCTTCGATTGATGCCTCCAAAGTTGCTGGTTCTCCTTATTGGGAGAACGGCATACATCCGGACTTTACCGTCAGCCGTCAACGCGTTCGAAAGGGAAGCGGAAGGCCGAGAATTAAGGTGATGGTATGTTGATTCAACAAATCAGGCCGGAGATTAAAAGAGGCTAGTTGATTCGTTGTGAAAATGAAATTAAACTCCGTAGCAATTCGTGTAAAGTTGTAAATAAAATTTGATTTCGTTCATGTCTTTCTCAGAATTGTCATCGGTCGGACCTTGCCCGTTTGCTGGGGCACCCTAGTTATCGTATTACTGTACAGTACTAACTAGCATGGCTAACCGCGTATCGCTTAGATAACACGTGTGCCATCACTGCGTGCGTCATCAACAAGGGTCGTAGTGGATTCAGATACGGTCGCGGAGTTTCTTCTGTCACGTGACTAGCGCGGACGTGCTGAACCTGAAGCTGCCAGTGGAAGCCTTGCCCATCCACGTCTCTCCTTCCCGTTTGTCCATTAGACTTAGGTTCACCCTCGGTATTTGCGCCGCGAATTCATCGGGGTACGTCACTACAAAAAGGTAGCTGGGTAGTTGGGCGATTGGCGTAGTATCTCTCTCAGCCTGAGCCGATACACGGTTTATTGGTATGAAGACGACAATGCGAACACCGTCATACAACGTTCACTGGCCGTCCAGGGAGAGTACAACGGCGACGACTGAAGACATATGAAACCTGGCACAACCGTGATCCAAACCTCCCCCATATCTTAACTCCTACATAGGTCGACTCGTCGAGTTCCGCAGCGCCTCAATGGGTCTTCTTATACGCAAACCTGCGGTTAGGTCAGCACCTAACGTGAATCAGAGCAAATGCACTATAAGACGTACCTTGCCATAGTCGACTCGGATAAGTTCGCAGTGACCACTACAGCAATCCTTATTCCTGTTACAAAAATTGCCACCGGTGGTGCACGTTTTCTCTCGGGGGTACACTGATGCATACGCCGCTGCAGGAAGCGCAATGAAGAGAGCGATGATAGAGAGACGCATGATTGTTGAAGCAGTGATGAGTGTGCGATGTTGTTTCGCCACGTCGTCTGCTTTGCACTTCTTATAGTTCTCTACAGTGTCGGGACCGACTGGACGCGCCAACCTTTGAGGGGACTGCTGAGGATACTCAGCCCTGCTTGTCAGGTGTACAGCGGCGCGACCGCAGACAATTAATATATTTTATATATAAATGGCCGGGTGACCCCCAAGGTGACCGCACTGGTGATGCAGACGATTAATATATTTTATTTACTGAGATTCATTTCTAGTAACTCAGACGAGATAATCAGTACAGGCCTGCATTGTCACCAAGTTGCGAGCAGAGTCAGGTGACCGTGCAAAGTTGGTCAGACTGCCGCCAGAGCCGGGCGATATGGGCCACTTACACGCCCATGACACCATCACCATCAACCTGGGCCATGGTGCAAGTGGCGATGGATGTTCTATCTATAGTCAGTAAACGCAAACCTGTGGGTGGGTGGAGAAATCCCTCATTCTAATGGATTCATACAATGGGTCAAAACGCCATGGACCAATGAGATGCATCAGACCTTAATGTTGCCTCGGGCCGCGGTGACGGAGAGAGGTGAGATCATGGCAATGGCATGCAGCCTTTGCATGCTCTCAAGAAGCGACTCATATAGTCAGAAGTTCTGTAATTACATCGTGACGCGACACCCAACAGATTAGGAGTTTGGCCGCGGCCTTGGACGGTCGTTCACTACAGTATCATTTCTATATGACACGTGCACACCAAAAAAGTTGTTCAGCTTGACCACAAGCCGTCACGGGTAGCCAGCTGTTGGGACTCCTAGACTCCCTTCCTGCCCGTTGAACAAATCCCCGGTGTATACCTTCACTACGTCGACATTGCTTTATCTTTTACACAGACGGACAATCATGCACTTTCTTCTGTCGCATGACGCGCTGAAGTTTGAAACTTGAAGTTTTGGCCATCAACATCCCTCCCTCCTGTTTGTCACCGTTGGGTCACTGTTTTACCTTGTCTTTGCGTCGTGGGTCCATCGGGGACACGAAGAGGTAGATGGGAGATTGGGTGGAATGAGTCTTAGCGGATTCATGGTTTATTTCCATTGAGGAGAAAGTGTGAAAAAAAGACGCCACGACCACTTGTCCAGAGGCTCTGAAGCAGTGTGACGCCTAAAGGCCAAAAGCTTAGAGGCGTATAACCCCGGCATAACCGTGACATAAACCTCCTCCGTATCCCCCTCAGGCTTAAGCCCTTCCTACTTAGATCGAGTTCGCGCCATAAGACATCTGGCAGGAATAGTGGGCCCCACTGGGCGAAGCCCTCTGCACGTCAAACCGTCACAGCACACAGCACCTTGGAAATTGCAAAGCAGGCTTTATGAGGTATGTTTCTTCGGAAACTGATGCGTCCTCGGGCGTACACTGCTGTGGTACGTTGTTGTAGGAAGCGCAATGGAGAGAGCAAGGACAGAAAGACGCATGATTGTTGGCAGTGGTGAGCGCATAGTAATGTTTTCGCCACTTCGTCGGATAGATCTTTACTGTAGGAATCCCGTCCATTTTGTGTAAAACCTCTTTTAATTGACTACAAGTGATGCACGATGTAAAACTTGAGTTATCCTGCCCGCTTCCAAGCATGAAGTTTGACGCACAGGGGTCGACAAGCTCCGATTTACTCGTTTGGAGTGTGTTGTACACATGGAATGAGGTGTTGATGGACAGAACCAAGGTGGCCCTTCAACTCAGTTCGAACAGTTTCGTCAGGAGTGAGGACCTGAGACGATATACATTACTTTTTAGGGAGACAGTAATTTTCCGCTTATACAGTGTAGAAAGTACTGGACTCGCTCCCACTGGCAGACTGGGCCAAGCATTGAAAGATCGGGGGACTGTAGCAGTAGAAATAGACGACAATAGAATGCCATATTCATGTTAGACATACCTAAAACCTTTGCATATTCCTGTTGACTTGTTGTCTAATCCATTCCATGCTAGTAAAGTACTGTGACGGTACCTGGGGTGAAGGTTATCTGACAATCCGGTCCGAGTCCCTGCTCGGCCACAGTACGGTATACCTGTAGGAACATTATTGACAGTCTGACACATGCTCGGTCACAGTAGCGACAGTACGGTACTTGCAGTGAACATTAAGTGTGACAGGCCAGCCAGAACAATTTCATCTCCACTTAGCATCTCGTCATCTCCAAGTCACCTGTTTTTCCATCGCATTAATCGCTCGAACAACCGAAAACGATACTTTGCGTGTCCGCACGCACGCTTCGGAGAGGAACGCCGCCAATTTCTTAGGCCGCGGGTCTTCGAAAAGTAACTTACCTGGATTCCAGCGCGTATTTGCTGCCGCCCAAATACATGTGCGTCCTGGAATCTCTAAGAGGTGCCGTTTTAGAGAGAGGTTGCGGGGAGAGAAAAAGTTTGTCCGGTGGTTCGGAGAGTTGGATCGTGACTGAGTTGGTGGTAAGCTGGGAAATACAGTAATGCGCTAACTTACATCCGAGCTGTAGCGCCAAAGCTAGTAGTCGATGCCCAGAATTAAGCTTAAGAGGCATTGCAATTGAAGACGCGCGCGCGCCAACGTACTAGGATATGAAATTAACGGTGCGAAAGGAATGAGACTCCAGAAGGCTAGTGAACGCGAGAGGAGCCTACTGTCACGGTAGGTACAGTACGTGCCCGGCCCACGCTGGACATGTTTATTGACGGTACGAGGAGGATGAGATTGGAAATCATAAAAGGTAACTTCAAGTTGTTTCACCCCGCAGACGGCCGATGCCATAAACGTCGAACATCAAGATCATTCAGGAGTGCGATCAAAGCAGGAATGGAAGGTGGCGGCGCAACTGAACGACAGCGACAAAGAGTGTTTAATGTAACAGTTCCGGTGACTCGAGCGCAGAACTCGAATCCGGTAAGATCACGATGGACTCGGAAGGCATCCTGCGAGTCTGCGACGATCTCCGAGTCTTCAAATTACAATAGTAAGAGGTGTTTGTTCTACGTTGCCATGATACTGCACCTGTACAGTACGTACCGAACTACCAAATGGGTGCTTCATACACCCCTCTTCATTATTATAGGTAAACAGGGTCAGTCATATCAAAAGAGCGTGAGGGCGTGAAACACGTACAGTACAGTACAGTAGCATTGTTTCCGCGTCGCACTATCGACCTTCAATCCATCCGTTTCAGTAAATCGGCGGTCGGAATTCCAGCCAGCTGTTTTCTGTTGATAACATCACATCTCCGCAAGTTCGCCCGTCTCATTTTGAAAGGTAAAGACAGCTCGTGCGCGGCGCGGCATGCATAAATGAAGGGATGAATTTGAAAATGGCGGAAATCGCCGCGGGAAAACAATATTAATAATAAAAAATATTCCGTTACGGGGAATCGAACCCCGAACTCCTCGGTGCTTCACTATGAAAGCGAGGTATGCTAGCCGTTACACCATAACGGATATATAACACTAGCACTTCGCAATCAATATCGTTCATTCGGCACCCTAGCAAATTCCGAGCCATGCCAGACTTATCACCCTCCAAATGCCCATTTACGAACGCTCAATCCCCTGTCTGGTATGCACAGAATATTTGCATGGATGACCAGCACCCAAGGGTTAAGTGCAGGGTGTCAGCATGCCGTAACACAACGGTAGCGTTCCTCATTTAGGAAGAATGGACTATGAATTCGATCCAATTGAATTTTCCAGTCTCCTGACCTTGATGTATCTCGATGCTCGTTATGCGGACATCATACTCTTGTGGATACGGACAACCGGAAGCAGACACTTCATTATACTGAAAATGTTCAAAGCCGTGGAGATACAGACTCACAACATGTGATCAAGTATGTAGCAGGTAGCAGGTTGATAGCGGAGTGCTGCAGGAGAACCGCGGGCAGACGTAATTCAACGTGCGTTCCTTGTTCGCCGCCGTTGTTCTCATGATTGATCGGGGTGGTTCGCATGTGCGTTTACGTTACTTGTCGCTGCGCGTGGCAGGTAGGCAACCCGAGGAGCAGAGTAGAGTTCTTGTTCTTTGGCAGAGCGAGCGCGCAATGGATCGAACAGCGGTAACGCGCGCGCAAGTTGTGCAGCACCGGTTGACAGCTCTCTGATATGTTCGAGTAAGGCACAAGGAGGTGCTTCCATCATAGGGCCCCCTCTACCCCACCCATTCACCCCGAGCCCCGACGCGCCAAATGATCCCAGCCCACAAGAGGGGAGCGCATCAGGGACCATGGTCTTGGCATACATGCATGCATGCGCGCATGAAAGAGCATGCCCAGAAAAAACGTGGGGTATGGTACCAATCATAACTTAGCAGTCGACAGTCGAACGGCAGCCTGAGTGCGTGGCGGCTCTCCGTTGTTAAAGTGGGAAAGTGGAAAGACGTGATGTAATGTTTTCCATTTTGGAAAGAGATTGTTGTCCATTGTACACGAAAAAGACTCTGGCGTAGCCTTTCAGGAACAGGGGTGGAAGATTCGTACCTCGACGCGACAGGAAGTTTCGCAAACAAAGGATAGAATGATACTGTTGGGAAATGGACTTACCTCGTCGTGGCCCCGATCGGGGGGTGAAAGGGGCGATTGAAAATTCGTCGAGAAGCAGGCAATTTCGGGGCCTGTACATCGAGAAGCCACGCATACAATTTGCGAGTTGATGTGACACTGCAGGTTCGGTAATCGCGCCGTTGGGGAGGACAACGTTCGTTTATACGTCATTGGGGAAATAACATTGCCTCTTTGACCAGAGCAAAGTCACCACCAGTTGTAGACTTGTGAGCACACCAGAGAGCGGATAACGAACTGTGCTAGATGTGCGTAACGGGGCCAAATTCGCTGTTCTCGCGGTCACGTGCTAAAAGCCCAGAGCGGGTCGTCGGAATCCGATCTACGACTACGTAGTTGAAAATTTCTGTGACTTCCTCGACCAGGTTATACGCACTTTTGTTGATGACTCCTACTCTCACCACTATCAGTTCTATAGGCGAACGTCGAGGCCCCGTCATTCTCGACCTAGTCGTACATATCTGCATCTACATCTTGACGCTTTTCTGCGATCTTCTTTAAGGTGCCTCTGGAAGAGAGACAGATGACAGGGAGGTGGTGCAATGTAAGGACGATGCGGACCTCAGAGGAAGTCAGCATGGTGATTGGAAGAAGGTACACACCGCATTGTCTACTATCACTATCGGTGGCGGGCTGACTATTCACCCTTCGTTACCGTCAGAGGTAGAGTTCTTAAAGCCGTTGCCATCTTCGGGTACCACTTTGCGGTGCGACAGAAAGGATGTCAAAGCAAGGTGACACCGAGGAACTGCGCAGACAAACAGGTCCTTCTCACCGTCAAAAGATCACGCCTCTCTTCCTCACTTTCGCCGCTCAGTGGACTTCTGTTGCGCCCTTCTGTAGTAATGGCGAGACGTGATGGCGCATACATGCATGATCAATGACCGTGACGAGCCTTCGAGGATGGGCCAAAATATCGCCAGGGTTGTATACAAAATTGTGCGAGGGGGTTTATGTTAGTAAAGTGAGGGTGGGTCATCCCTTCTTCACGTCCAACGCGAATGGAACGCAAACGTGTTCTTGCAACGTTATCTTTGACGGCCGGTCGGGCATCGTGAGGTAAGGAGTTAGTCAAGTCGAACTCCTTCTGACCGCCGTCGCGCCCTGGGCCCAAATCCGGGCCTAGCCCTCTGACAGCATAGAGAAGGAGCGAAAATTCTCTTTGCGAATGTGGGGGGCCACACGGTCCCGAGATCAGACAGACAAGTGATGTTTGCGTTTGTCAGCAGGGTCAACTGGGCACACAGTGGAGGACATCATTACTGTAAATGTTTGTAGCGTGTACGCGCGCACGTCGGAACCCTTGACTTGAACGGATCATGATTAATGAATCCGCGAAACGTTCAATTGGGTGGACGTTCGTGGGTAGCCTTGCGCGTGTATGTGCTGTACAGCAATTACGGCCCCGGGTTTTCGACAAAAGGAGTCGGAAGCCTTTCTCCTTAGACACCTTCGCCAGGCATATGCGGCACCGAGCACGAGGAATAGGGAAAAACAAATAGGCGTAATAGGCGTCACGATGGTCGCCGATTCTTCTCTCGTGCTGTTCGTTCGTCGTCCTCGATGCGATGACGGAATTTTTGTCATTTCGATCTGTCACGTACAACTATACATACGTATTTTCGTCATTAAATTACGACATTTGCATCGTTGCTCACTCCATCCAGGTAAAATGCGATATTTGCCCGCAGAGGTGGGAGTAGCCAAAAGCGATTGTATTGGTTTGCGAACGATAACCATATTCTGAAGTAACAAATTATGTGACGAGGTGAACGTGGTGGGTGGAGAAGATGCATGAGGTGGCGCGACAGCGAGGCGTGACATCAAGGGGAAGAAAGGGTTACTGTAATGGTCTGAAAATCGAGTCCGTGTGGTCTTTTACAGGGAATACCTCTGTGAGAGAACAAGGGGCAATCAACACTGTTCCCACATCTTCACGTAATCACTATGTCTCGAACGTCAGCACGATTCACAAACTTGGAAGAAAAGGCGAAAACATACATCCTCATCGCGCGATCTTCTTCGCTCTCGGGCCAAGTTTCAGACCACTTGTCCTGCGACTGAGCAAAAAGTTGCATGGCATCTACAACAGCCATCGGGTCATTTTCCCAACCAAAAGAATGAATAGCACCCACTGATCGCTCCATTCAGCCACGGCTTGTTCCCAGCGCCATCCGGGAACCAGCCGTTAGTGCCGCCGACGGCAACATCGAGAATAAGGTAGAACGCTATCATATAATCGAAAAACGGTCAGTCAGTTTCTTTCTCAAAAACGACTTCGCCACACATACGCTGATCGAAAGGAGCGGAATTTCCGCGGCCCGCCCAAGGGTTGGGAAGGATGATCTCCTGCGAGGCGTTCGCGACGGACGTTGGGAATTTGCCACGCTCGAAGAACGGGACGTCGAAACGCAGGTTGAGCATGTGCTGAAGACGGTTGTCGACGTAAACCCGACTGGTTTGAAAAGGTGAGATGTGTGCGTGTGTGGTGCGTGCGGGATCAGTGCCGTCCGTGCCCGGAGAGAAAGAATCTTACAGAAGTCTCCGTCCATTCGAGGCCATATGTGTGGAAGGTGTCGGCGTAAGTTGATCGCCGCACGTCCACCAGCCGTACGTCTCGAACAGCGTTCAGCCACGTCAGCGACCCAGTTCAACGATCCTCGAACGTAGTTGGTGCTCTGCAAAGAGACAGTCTCGGTCAGATGTGGTGGAACGCCGGCGGGACAACAACAACAAATCATAAAAGTACATTTACTGCGCGGGGTATGTCGGCCCGTTGCCTCGGCTTCATGATATAATCTCCCTGAGAATGGGAGAGACGCGTCAAGGCACGTCCTGGAAAAGGAACCATTCCATTCCGGCTCACCACTTAGAGGCAGGGACCATAAGTGTTGTTTCCGGGAGCATCCAAATAGCGGCCATAACTATATGAGGAGTGGATGTCAAGGAGTGGACGGCGATATGATGAGGACAGACCCAGTCCTAAGAGAAAGCACAAAGCTGTCAGTTCAGGGCGCCACAACGGGAGCTCGACTTACCCTCGTGCAATTTGGCTCGCACCTCCACCTTTCCATAGCGGATGCTGCGTTTCCCTTTGGTGGAAATGCGGGCGCTCATGGCTGGGTTGATGACAGCG